TACCTCTCACTACTAATTAATATAATTTTTACTTGTCAATATAAATTTAGTTGAGCAATAATTGACATCAGACTTTGGCCAAGAATTCATGAGTTCAAATTTCCTACCTCACTTGTTGTATATATATATCATTCTCTCTAAAAAAATATACACATAGTTAAAGTTAATAAAATTTTTGTTAGGCTTTATTTTGAAAACTTCCACCTTTAATTTATGCTATTATTTTGACCAAGAGATCATGCCTTCGAATCCCTGCACGTCCACTTGTTGTACTAAAAAAATCTCCACCTTTATTCTAATATCATTTGTCCCTACGGGTATTTTGAAATTTTGAAAACTAATAATTTTTTTTTTTTTTTGAATTTGATGCTTAAGAATTCAAACGCGTGAAAGGTGTAAAACATACCAAAAGAAATTGCAATTAAGAAGCAAACAAATTAAAGCTTTTTAAAAACAAAAAACGAAATCGTCATTAAACAATGTCTTACTCATGAATTTAAACTCCTATGTATCATGATCTAGCACCTCATCATCAACCTCATATGAATCATCATCCATACAAATCGACCTAACGAATGGTGTCTCAACACGTTATCAAACTTGTTTTATATCTGGCTCAATAATACTACTTATCTGAGTGAGTTTCAATGTACCAAAAGTTTTCCAAGACAAGGAGAGACCGACCTTTTTTTAATGTGTCAAGTAGCTAGATAAGTCAAAAGGACAATGACTTTTACAAGTTTCTAGGACACACTGAATGAGATTGTCTAACACCCCTCTAAAAGCAAATAACAATCCACTTGCCCTTACACCAAAAACCTGTCCAGATTGGGAAGAAAAAACACACACATTGTCCCACAAATTGGACCATATTTAAAGCTAGCATTCACATTTCACATCAAGCTTATAAAACTAAGGAAACCCATTAACAGCATAATAATAATAATAACAATACTCCAAACTACAATATACTGACTATTACATCTCAAAATCTTATATGGAAAGAAATTCTCGATAGAAATAGAAGAAATAAGATATTTTAAGAAAAACACTCGTCATTTAGAAGTAAACTAAAAGAGTAAAAAGATTTTACGTGAGTTTCATATATAGTTCATGCATTAAGAATTATCAATGAATGAATAATTACATACAAAACCCAACCGATTCGATTTGTTATTTTTTTCCATCCACTTGATATTTTAAAAATGAAGGATTGAACTTAAACTATTATAAAATATCTTAGTTAAAATATGTTAAATGGTTTCTAAAGGTTCAAAAACCATAATCATTGTCCAGAAATATCATGGTCATTCCATCAAATTGTTTAAGCCCGTTTTACAAGTACTAATTTTTTATTTTTTAATCAACAAAAACTTGGTTTTAAAGAAGTATCTCAACCACTACCATGAAAATTAACAAAAAGAAAATGAAATTGATAAAATTATATGATAAAAGTATCTCAACAAATCAAAATTGGTTTCTAATTTCATACGAAGAGAACTTTCAATAAAATGCCAAACAAATTATACAAAATTCCTTATAGTTTGTTCTCTTCAAATTAGAATAGCTTCAATTTTATCTCCAATATTTTAAATTTTGAAAGATATTTTAACAAAATTAGTTAACGGAAGGTTCTTTCGGAACAAATTAAAAGATTATTAGGACGGAAATTAAGAATTTTTAAACATTTACAGGAAAAATTAAAACAACTCCCTATTAAATTATAAGTTCAATCTTTTTTTTTTTCTTTTCGGCAAGAAACGGTCTGTTGGTAATTCAAAATGTGGAACTTGAAAAAGATAACTTTCCTTTGGAGAGAACCACGAGTTAAGAAAAAATGAGAAAAATAGGGAAAATATTATTATTGACAGTAGGAAATTAGCTCCGATTGTTAGCTAAATAAGGTAACTCTCCAAATCTACCACGATTTGGTTGTCAAATAATCAGCATAATTGGTCGAATATTTAATACAATAGCAGCACCAATACATTGAAAGGAGTGGCATTCATCAATCAACTGTTACAATGAGTGCAAGAAAAGGATATAATTGGCACTTTATTATTTCATAAATAGGTTCTTAAACTTTTAATATATTGTGTCTATCAATATGTTCTTAAATTTTAAGAAGGTCTAATAAAACTCTAAATTTTCAATTTTGGGTTCAATAAGTGTCCTAAACTTTTAAAATGTATCTCATAAGTAAGGGGATTTGTTAGATTGAGAGCTTATAAACCCTGTTAAATATAAACATGAAAGCTTGTGAACTTTGTAGGTATTTTAGAAAAATTATGAATACAACATTAAAAATTTAAGGATCTTAAGAATTCAAGGATCAATACTTGTAATTTGAGCCAAACTGAATACATAATTTAGTCCAATAATAGATAGCAACGGTGGATCTAAAATTTTTGTTTGGAGCTTGAACAAAAAATTTACTTCAGACAATTAATCTCCATTATCCACTTCTTTAGATTTTGCAAAATTCAAATTAAAAAGTATAAAGAAGAAGAATCCAATCTTGAAATTTTGATTATTTATAGAGAAGGAAATATCAATACAATAATTTAATTATAAAAAAATATTAGCTATATATAATAACAATGTTTAAATTGAAGATAAAAACAAATTTTAAAATCGTCGGCAATAATTAGACCAAAGAGAAGATAGATGCGATCTATAAATTGAAAAAAAAATATTTTTTGTTCAAAAAATTAAGATGGTGACTATACTATTTTTCTTAGTACAATATGTGGGGGGAAGAATTGAACTCAGAACCTATTGGTTGGAAATATATGTCAATTATCACTGAGCATGGTTTGGTCTACGGTGAGTATATTCTATCTTAAATTAAAATGCTAAAAAAAACTTTTAGAAAATTAGGATTTGAATATCCCTGTGTCTTTTTTACCTTTTTTTTTTCTTTCTTTAAAGATTGACATATCTATATGTATAGTAAGTTTATGTATATTTTAAATGATTTTAAATATTTATACTTTTTATTTTTTAATATAATTTTATATGTTTTATTTAGTATATAATAAAAGGTGATACATAGTCAAATGAGAGTTCCAACCAAATTTTTAAATGTCGATGTCGATGGAAATATCGAGGTCTCAAATTCATGGAAATATCGATAAAATGTCGATGTCGATGGATATTTCTGTAAAAGTTATAGAAAATAAAAATATGTAAAAAATATTTATATTAACAAAATAAACATTTTCATGTTTCTAAATAAGTTAAAAAATAATTAATATCAATATTATGTATATATTAGTGACATTTTGTTGATATTTTCCATAATTTATCGATTTTTTATACTATGATGAAAATGTCGATTTATCCTTCGTGTCAATATCAAAACTATGAAAACATGGACATATTGGTAAACATGGTTCCAACTTCTTTGAACATACTTTTTGACTCGTCCCTAATAGATAAGAACAAAATTTTAAATGTTAATTTATCAATAAAATATTGAAATTATAATATTATGAAAATATTAATAAAATGTGAATATTGTATTGATAAATAGATTTTTTTAGAAATATTACATGACAAATGACGAAAATAAACAAATTGAATTACGAGATAGGATAGATACTAAACAGTGCATGCTTGTCTGGCAGTGTAACACAGACAGACGCAAACTTCCAATAATATCTAACCTAACCATTGGTTACAGAGTTTCCGCTGACAGCCCAATCACAATCAATGCAAAATACCAAATGGATTCACAGCACGCTGTATAATTGATTGCATGCATTGGACCGCCATCTTTGTCACATAACTTTTTTTTTTCTCTTTTTATTAAATTACAAATTTAGTGGTAGTTTTTTATTTTCTTTAAAAGTTTATTTACATCCCTACATTTTCAAGCTTGATTCTATCAAATCAAATGTACGTGGTTAACGTCATTAATATGGATGTGGCACATCCATTTCAAAAATTGGTAATGAGAAACGAGTCAAAAAATTCACTTTTGATGCATTTAGTACCTTTTATTTTGAATTATTTATTATTATTATTATTTTAGTATAGTACGTGGGGTAGGGTGATTCGAATTCACGACTTTCTGATCGAACATAGATGTCTTTAACTCACTGAACTATACTCAGGTTGATATATTTTGAAGGCATTTATATCGATAGTGTAAAATAAATATGTATTTTCAAATATAGAATTTTGTAAAAATAATTGAGATTTTTTGGTTGGTGGACGAAATTGGTATGCTGATTAGATTGCTCCATTGCACATCCCTAGCTCTTGCAAAGTTCTGGAAGAGGAAGTCGAGGTGGGGTGGCTATCTAGTAAAGGTTTATGCTTAATTCATTCTTTTTTTTAATAACAAAATAAGTTACTTCTCTACCACGCATCCCGAGGAAGATAAGGAACGGTAGAGATGTTTTAGTGCGGGATTCTTTCGCAGTCCCCCGATGGTTCACAATCCTCTGAGTTTTGCAATTTTTTCTTCTACCCCTTATTGTTTTCGTGCATTAATTAAGTTTAGGAATATATTTATAGTCAAAGAGAAACAATGAACCAAGATAGAAGGTGGGGAATTTCTATCGATCATCTCACATATGTGTCTGTATCGTTAGTGTTATTTCTTTAGCAAGAGGACAGGACGTGTTAAAGCAATAAATATCATGACACCCGTGTGTGGATAGTATGTTTAACACATAAGAACAATGTAATTGGAAACTGTTGTTATCAAACTCAATATAATATAAAATGCACAAAAAAAAGTCACACGGTAGCATTTGAAAAAAAAAATGAAAATTTTAAAAGTACATATTAATTCTATACCATAGTGTGAAATTTATCATCATTTTATTAGGTTAGACTTCCTATCCTCTCATATGTTATGTCATGCTAAATCAACATATATATATATAAATCAGAAAAATTAACCTACCACTTGGTCCATGTCCACATTTAAGTAATAATATTACTTCATTTACTTATTAGTATCAAAATTAAAAAATTACCCTTGTAAATTTTAAAAATTAAATGTGAATTAAAGCATAAATCGAATAGATAAAACACAAATTCCATCCTTGAAAGTACAATCTCCCACTTACTACATTTGGTTGAACTGCTAGGTTTATTTATAGATCATATGTTTAACTTTGTAATTGGACATGTTTGACACTCAAGACCATCTCTTTGTAATCTTCACCTTGAATCCATGCTTCATGTGAAGAATAATGGAAGGATTTGGGACAACCTTATGACCAATTTCTTGAATAATGTTGTAGTTGTGAATAATGGCAGCCGCAACCATTTTGATCTCAGTAAAAGCCACTTGTTTCCCCAAGCAAGTCCTTGGCCCTGCATTAAATGCCAAGAACTTGTAAGATGGCACATGTTTTATACTMCCTTTCTCTGAAATCCATCTCTCTGGCTTGAACTCCTCACAATCTTTGCCCCACACTTCACTCATTCTCCCCAATGCATATAACGAAAACAGAATCTTAGTTGTAGGATCCACTTTATKACCCGATGGAAGAACATCGGCTTCCACAGKGACTTTGTGCTGAAATGGGACTGGGGGATAAAGTCTAAGTGTTTCACATAAAGCCCCATGAAAGTAAACTAGTTTGTTCAACTCTTCGATTGAAAATATCCTCCATTGATCATGATCTTCATTTTCTGGGATGATTGATTTGAGCTCCTCTCTTATCTTGGCTTCAACTGTTGGATTGTTTGAGAGACAGAAGAAAAACCAAGAGAGAGCTGAGCTGAGAGTGTCCCGACCGGCAATCATGAAATTCAAAACAGTGTCTCTCAAAAAATTTTCATTTTTCTCAAAATTACCATCTTGATATTCTTCGTCTATCATATATGATGTGATTAAATCAGCTCCTTGGGCTGCCTCTTCTTTTTGCAGGCTCTCTCTTTTCAAGGCTATCAATTCTGCGATGGTTTGGTCTATGATTTGGCGAGCTTGTTTCTGCCTCCTGGGCTGTCCAATTTGGAGTTTGTTTAGCAACTCCCACAAGGCTTTAGGAAAAAAGTGGCGAAGAAAAATAATTTCCTCCACGTCATCCATGGCCTTGGAGAAAGGAACTTGCGGGAAATCAAGAGACAAACTGTTGAGGTCGAAGCCAGTGACCAACATACAAGTTGAATCAAACGAGAATCTCTGAAACAAATCTTGCAAATCCAACACCGAGCCATTTTCACAAACACTTTCAAGCACCGAAACCACCCCTTCCTTCACCTTCTTCATCGTGTTTTTCTCCAAGAATCGAAGAAACTCGTCGCGATGAACCAAGGAATGAGCAATCTTGCGTTGGTATTTCCATGAATCAGAGTCGGCATTGAAAATCCCATCTCCCAAAACGTCAAAAATGTAGTTGAAATCGGGGCCTTTCGGGTATCGTTGGAAATTGGCGCTCAATATATGGTGGATGTTGGAAGGGTCGGCAGTGAGCAAGAAGTCGATATTGGCAAACCAAATGGCTTTGAAGAAGAAAGTGGAAGAAGATTGGTGTAAGATTTCAGTAACACGATCGTGAATACGGTGGAGATTGGAGAAAATAGTGGGAATCATTCCCAAAATCGGCCAATTCCAAGGGATCCCATGGGGGTTCCAGTTGAGAGAAATAAAGAAAATTAGGATGAAAATTAAGGGTAAGGAGGGGAGAAGGATGGAGAGAATGGAGATGGGCGCCATAATTGAATTGAATTGAAGCTCTGCAAATGTAAAAAAAATGGTTCCTTTTAGATTTTAGTTGAGGAGGTGAGGAATATTATATTGACTTATTGAGTGAGTTTGGTTTGCTAATCGATGAGATTTGAGTGAACAAACACTGTCGTTTTTATCTTTTTTTGGGGGCTGGAGCCACTGACCTGTTCCATCACTGGTTTTCGGTTTTTGAGAAATATAAGTAGTTTGATAACTATATTTGTTTTTAGTTTCAAAGTATCCAATTTTTTCATGATGCATCGATCAAAATATTGAAAATAATAGAATTAGGTTTTTTGTTTTTTATTTTCTATTTTCGTTTTCAGTTTTTTCAAATACATGGATAAAATTATTTAATGCATAATAAAGGTTTTTTTTTAGATAATCATAATAAAAGATTAAAAAGTTATTATAAGATAAAATATTTAAATATCTAATTTAAAATTTTACTCTTTTAATTTAAAGTTTTTTAGAATAAGATGAAAGAAATGAGATTATCCATCATTTTATTTTCAATAAATAAATAAATAACGACTATCAATTCTGCTTCTACTTATTAAAAGAAAAAATAAATAAGAAACGAGAGTGGAAACAAAAAGATAAAAAAACGAAACCGTTATTAACCTTAACACAGCTAGCCTTTTAAATATTATCAACATTTGAGTTTGACGTGATTAAAATAATAAACATGAATAAAGATGTTTGAGATTTCAGTTAATTTTATTATATTATCTATAAAACAGATATATAATTCTTTAAATCAAGAAGTTTATGAATATTATTAAAATTAATAAAAGTGTTTTTTTAGTTTTTAAATAAATTGTAAATCTTATTATTGATATTTATATTTATATTCGTTACTTTTTTTTTTTTGAAAGATTTATATTCGTTACTAATTGATGATAATTTTTATATTTTATTTGATATCAATACAATATATAGAAAATATCAATTGACCGCCTTTCTTTGGGTTGTTATTTGAGTTTGAAATTGGAAAAGTTTAAAGAAATTGATCTTCAATTCTATTAACCATTTTTTAGGGTTGTTATAATACAAAAGAATGCAACTTTGATTTGAACTCTATTCTTATCTTTTAACTTTTAGTTTTTCAGATTATCGACTTAAATGCATCCTAAATATCTAAGTTGGATAGGGAGATTGATTCGACAATTAGGAATTATTATTTTATATGAGCTACTTATTTTAATACCAAACATCTAGCTTATCCTATGGTCTCTACCAAATTAAGGAACCCCACTATTTGTGTTACAAGTAAAAGAAAAAAAAGAGAATTATGAAAAAAAACCTACCTAATTCAATCACAAACTTTTCATAACATCAGCCAATCTAAACATAATTCAACTAGTTGAGGCAACCTATTTCCAACTAAAAGATCATGAGTTCAAATTTTCACCCATATATACTTGAGAAAAAAAAAACTTTTTATAATATCCTAAAAGCAAAAAAAATTTCATGACTTACATTTAGTTAGTAGGTTTTTTTCTTAACAAATTAGTTAACGTAAACCTACCATCAACGTATTTTTATTTATGTACTCGATAATATATATATACACATAGTAATGTAGAAGTTGGGATTTGAACTCAAAACCTTTTTATCGAAGATATATATGTACCTTAACCAGTTGAACTGTGTTCAGATTAGTTTCGACCATTATATGTTTCTGCATAGGCAAGTATTTGAATTCATGTACAAATAAATTAATTGGGGCTTCTAAATCAATTTAATTTTTTATTAAATAATTAAAATATAGTAGTATAGTACAATAATCTTCTTATGTAAAGTTGAAAGAGTAATTAAACAAAACAATTTAAAATTTAACAGCTCAGACAAAATAACTATAAAATTCATAGACCAAATATAATTTTCAGTCATTATTTTGTTCTTGTAGTGCTAATTAAATGTATTAACTCATCTATTGTCAAAATTACCACATTTTTCTTATTTAGTTAACATGAATAAGCTAATACACAATTAACCATAGTAGCACCACATCTTATAAGTTGCTAATATATTAACATAGCTAGGAAGTTACATTGTATGTCAAAATGTTCCTTCATACATTTGTTATGTGATTTTTTTCTCTTAAAAAAACAATAGGATGTGAGTTATCGCAGCAAGCCTCGAAAGTAAGGATAAAAAAATTATGTATCTTGACAAATCTAACAAATGTAAATAGTAAATTTGAGGAGTTTTCCTAAAATTTTGAGTCCGGATGGAGGAGTTGAAATTTTGAGTTTATCGAAATCAAATTTATAAATTTAAATATAATTCAATTAATTAAAATATTAGTGATTTTTTACGCACGAATATAATTCATTCAACTACTTAAAATATTAGTAACTTTTTTTTTTTTTTGTGGAAAACTTGAAACTTGACTTCTATCTTATTATTCGATTAATTTAAATTCAACATAGCTCAGCAAGTCGTCCCTACTAACAGAAGCGACGTCGGCAAAAGTGAATTGATTTATATGCATGTGCACTGGTCCATGAAGGTTTAATTGATAGGTGACATACAGTTTTAATTGATTATTTGACTTTTTGGAATGAAAAGTTTCTTTAAGGTTTCCAAGATTTTTATATACATTCATTTAATAGTATTATTTTGAGTAAAACCATCTACTGATTTCATGAAAAGACGAAAAAAACTGTTGTCTCTCACTGGAATAAATAATATATAATTGAGATTATAATCATAATACCTTTAAATATTTTTAAAAAGAAAATAAAAAAATAAGAACCAAATTTTTTTTCCCTGAAATTCATATACAACTTTAGGATTATTTGTTAATAAATAAGGGAAAAAATTTAACTAATGGTTGCCAAAATACATATATCTATTCATAATTGACTAAAATGAGAAATTAAAAATCGAAAAATATTTTAAGGATATAGTGGTCCATGACAGCTTTTAAATAGTAATAATCCAACTTTTTAGGCGGGGTTGAAAAATCTTCTCTGTTTTAAAAGCAAAAAAAAATTGCTATAATGGAAAGTGAAAATAAAATTTAATCTGATGAGTTATTTGATTGTTATAATATTATTAATTTAAAAATTATTGTGAACCTAAACGTAATTCAAATCGATTAAAGATGCAGATAGATTTTTGGTTCAAGTTTATATCCATGCATGTTGGTACTAAAAAGTTTAAAAATCGTTCTATGTTAAATTATTTGGTTAGTCGAAAATAATTTTTTTTTTGTTAATTTTATTATTATTTATTTTAATAAAGATTACAAATTAAAAAAATAACGAAGAGAGAGTGAGACCACATGTTATATTAAAAAATCCTTCTTAAACGGGATAATTTTTCATTAAATCTCGAACTGTCCTGTTCCCACCCAACTTTTTCCCATTAATTTTCCCTAACTGTTCACCTAACATTTTTTTTTTTCTAATTCCAAGCTTATTTCTTGAACTTTCATATTATATTTCTGAATTTCTAGTTTTATGTCAATTAAGTTTTATAAATTTTTTAAAAATATCTAATAGTCTTTAAATTTTCAATAATTATATCATTTTTTTGTTTTATAATTTTAAAAACTAAACTTATTTGTTCACGATTTCTTTAGTTTGATTCAACTCTTCTTAAAACACATTTGAAATCATAAATAGCTAAATTTAAAAAATATATATATAAAAATAGAAACTACTTTTTTTAGTTTTTAATTTTTTGTTAAGATTTTGGAGTTGTTTTCCAAAAGTAGATAGAAAAACAAATAATTACAAAGTAGTATTTACAATCTTAATTTTCAGAGATAGAAAACAAAAAACAAAAAGATTATTGGTTAGAATAACTGAATAGATCATTGAGATATTTGTCACTTTTTAAAAAATTAATGGAACTATTAAATACAAATTTGAAATTTTAGAATTTATTAAATACAAAATTCAAAATTTTCGGATATATCAATGACCTATTAAATACAAAACTGAAAATCAAATTTATTAGACACTTCAAAGTTAGTCTAAAAACTTACTTACAAGTTTAGGAACTAGATAGGTAATTTATTTATTTATTATTATTAGTATTTTTTATTTATATTAATCGTTAAAATAACTATATAAAAATCACTTCTACATTAAACTCAAATATTAATCGTTCAAAATCACTTTTAATTATATAGAAATAACTTTAGAAAAATGTAATTAAATGTTAAAATAACTATATAAAAATCACTTCTATAAAATTAATTATCATTAAATTTCTTTTACTAAAATCATTTCTTATAAACTCATCCTCAAATAGGCTCTAAAAGAGGCTAGAAGATATTTAAACTAATTTTGTGAGGGTTCATACAAAAAAAGTGTTTTAACCTGAAAACATTTTCTTCAAAATTCAGATGAAACTCACCCATAATAAAACAAAATATGTGATGCTAGTTTAATTTAATTTAATTTATTTATCAAATAATCTTGAAACGAATGGAGATTCCTATATTATCAAACGTAGAAAATTGAGAGTTTTTTCTCAATCGGTTGGATTGTCGATCTTTTTAATATATAAGGCATCCTCCGAATAATTCAAATCGAAGCAATTGAATATTTGACTTGGATCGGACCTATATGACACATGTTTTATCAACAGAAATACTCTAACATTCTACCTTTGTCGTATACTCTATGCACGAGACATCGATATCATATGAATTGGAATATGATTCACGTTCGACAATTTCATGAAAATGAATTGGTTAGACCTCGTGAGATTCAAAGTTTCACGGGAAACGATGTCAGACAAGCGTCCGACATCATTTCGAGTGTTATTGTAACTTTTGATGTCGGGCGGGTATCAATGACGGGCCTAGCCCGCCATTATAGGTGATTGTCATTGTCTCCTACAATGACGGTCACTTATGATGTCGGTTTTCTAGTGTTATTCTAGTCTACAATGTCGGTCATCAAATATCCGTCATTAGATGTCTGTCATTATATGTTCGTTATTAAAAACTCATTCTCAATGGCGGGCAATGCCCGTCATTGTTTGGTTATTAATTTAATAAAACAAAATGTTGGTTGCTCAGGTGGACTAACCAACAATCTTTCCTCATTTCTCAACCTATGCACAAATATTAATCATATATAAAAAAAAATTGCAAGTACTTACCCAAAACACATGCATACTTGTAAACAATAACCTTCTAATTTATACACAACTCGATAGACAATAAGGATTTAATACTCATTCATCAAACATGACTCAAACAACAAAAAAAGTCAAAATTTAAGCATGACCTCTACTAAAATCTTCTAAACAAAAAATGTCAAAATTTTGACACAACCTCTGCTAGAATATCCAACTATGCCTGAAATACATGACATATAACACATATTTAAGCATAATATACAAATGACCACCCGTCCCTCATCAAACTACATTCAGAAACATATCAAACAGTTTTATACATATAATATGATTTTTATATTAAAAAAAACAATCTTCTTACAATGTGTTACGAAAGTGACAAAATAAACCTAGTTAAAAGCTTCACGCCATTTGCTTTATGAAATCTACCCTACCTGGAAGAGCTGCAGAGTAGCCAAATTAAAAGAACCTGAAAATGAATCATAGTTTTTAAAATCAAAAGGCACTATAATCATAAAATGTGGCAACCTTACATTACAAAGAGCAGAGATCATATTTCAAAACACAAGGTCAAGCATAATCATATCGAACCTAAACTACCCCCAAGATAACATTGCAAAATCAAAGTTTGAATTAAGCATAAGAACAACTATAATGTAAGATCTAACTCATATATCAAAATAACAACTATAAACATAACTCACTTCCTAAAGATACTGAACAACATGAGCATAATTCCAAGTCCTAACAAGAAACAAATATCATAAATAATAACCTAACCAACGACCAGGTCAAAGCACCACCCCCCCACCCCCAATTTGCTAGGTCAAGCAAACAATCATAAATAATTTAACGAACGATGAAGGTCAAAACAATCATGATGCAAATTCTAAACCATTAGTCAATAACTCAATGATGCCTATATCACAAGACACAAACCCATGCATAACTCTAAAACTTCCATCATATTTTTTAGCTACGATATTAACAAATCAAAACTACCCCCTCAAATCGATTACCATAACTGTAAGGTAACCACACAATTACTTCATATGATAAGTATTAAGTATTAACTGGCTACTAACTGTAGGATAGCCACACAACTGCCTCTCTTATCATCAAAACTATATGCATGTTCAAATTACTATAGAATGAGGAGATTCATACCTATCCAAAAGATAGACATGTTCCTGAGCTTTGTTGACTCCTGAAATTTGCTAATATAGTCTTGAAGGATGTCTATCTCCCCATAAACTATCAATTGATGATATATTTCGAGCTAATTATGTAACTTGAACTTGAAAAAAAATATAAAAATAAGAAATGCATATGTGCCAGTAGATTAAGTTCAGAATTAGGCCATAGAAAAGAATGATAAAAGTTTTTCTAGTCTAGTCAACGTTGAGATGCGCATTCAATTGAAAAGTTGAAAATTTAAAAGCACACGCAAGCATTATGAAGCATCACAAGAGTATCCATTTGGAATAGCAATAATAAAAAAAAAATGCTACCTTTAAGTGAGTTGATTTTCTACTACATATATAAGAGAGTCTTCCATGGTACCAAGACCAAGTTGATATTGTTGGAAGATTATGATAAAACTTAATCAATTATTACCAAATCAAGTATAGTTCAGCGGTAATTGACATATGTGATCTCTAACCAAAAAGTTGTGAGTTCGATCCTCCAACCCACATGTTAATACTAAATCATGAAATAAATGATATTGCAACAATCTTTTAATCTCTCTCTCTCTTTTTTTGGGAAAATGATATTGCAACAATATCTTGAAGGTGAAGAAATCATAAAATTAAAGTATCCAAATATTGTATCAAAATTATAGGGCAGGGGAGTGACAAATTGGGCTCTCACCACCGTATCTAACTTATAGTATAATAGCCATAGGGGTCCCTCCATGGAATTTTGCGTGGCCAAGAGGGGAACCCTTGGGTTTGGACGTAGTGTAGCATTATAGAGAACGGCTAATTATTGTATTTCAAACAACTCTCTACCAACTGTCATTCATACTGATAATATATAAAATTTACATTGTTCCACACATCATTGCTATATGACAATATACACAAAAGATAAGATTCCCATTTTGATTTTTAGAAGGTTTAAATTTCATGTCGTTCTCAAAATTGGCAGGTTTTCCCTATCTTAATCTCTCAATTTTTAAAATATCTCTCCTCCTTCAGCTTTTTAAAATAATCATTTCAGCAGTGCACAACAAAAATCTTCTATGTGTTTCAAAATATCTCACTTATTTCTTAAATTTTTAAATATAGCAAAAAATTTCACTTATATCAATAGTATATCACACTTATATCATGCAATAGATACTCATATCAATGGTATATCACATATATATTGCAAGTATATCACATACTCATATCAATAGTATATCAAATATATATCATATACATATATTGACAGTTATATATATTACAGATGTGTATCATTTGGATACTCATATCARTAGTAGATTGTCACAAGTATATCACATACTCATATTAGTAGTATATCATATACATATATCAGTAGACATATATATTATGGATGTGTATCATTTGGATAATGTGTCATTTTAAAATTGGACTTCCGTTTTTTTTAATTTTATATTTGAAATAAATTAAATCTACCTGTTATTTTACTAATTTTATTAAATGTTTTTTTTCTTTTTTTGGTTTTGACGTATTTCCAAACTGTCTCAATAAATAAACATTTTGAACAGAGATTTTAAATGCCCATGAGCCACAATAAAATCGGTCGAGAGGAGGAGCTGCTACTCACTGTGTATAAATATATCACACTAAAAAGCCATCCTAATTAGCTGGCAATAAAGTATTTTATTTAATGGATAATTACATATTGTAGTTCCCAACGTGGATTTATTGATAATATACTAATATCATGCATGACTAGTGGAGAATCGACATCTACTGATTACCAATCAGAGATGATTGATGAGAGATTTTTATTCCACCTTATCAATATTCATAGGTTAAATCTTAAAATCAATTATTCATAGGTTAAATCTTAAAATCAATTGACAATGAGAGGAAATTTTTATATAATTCTTAACATGCCCTCAAGATATGGTGCTTCTTTTAAATCATTTGTGAATCGATGGATGTTCGTTTGAACTTTTGAATTCCGATGTCATATCAATATTCATAAGTTTCCATTTCAAAACTAATGGACAATAACGAGAATAGTCATGTTTATTATAAACCATGATAAGGTCTGTTTTCTTTTTAATATGGGATGTCCCACGAATTGGGACTCTTTTGACTTATCAATCTTATCGAATCTCATTTTTGGATCGGCGACGAGAGTGACCCCCTACTCATATAATCTTTTTAACATTGCCTTGAGCAAATTTCAGTTGCAGAGCTCCAATGGTTGATTCCATAGCCTTTCCGGAAAATCTTTTTGCCTTGTTCAACTTCATACCCTTTCTTCTCATGATTTTCTTTCTAATTTTGAAGTGGAATTTCGATGGGTTTGTTCCTTGGAATTGGCCTCTTGTGGGGATGACGCCCACAGTGGCCTGCCATATCCACCGAGCTCACGATCGTATAACCGAAGTCTTGAACCAAACCGGCTGCAGCTTCCTTTTCAAAGGTATTTGGTTCACTGATCTCGACTTCTTGTTGACAGCCGACCCTTCAAATATTCACCACATTCTCAGTGCCAATTTCGAGCGATACCCAAAAGGCCCCGATTTCAAGTACATTTTTGACGTTTTGGGAGATGGGATTTTCAATTCCGACTCTGATTCGTGGAGGGAGCAGCGCAGAATCGCTCATTCATTGGTTCGCCATGACAAGTTTCTCCAATTCCTGGAGGAAACCACGATGAAGAAGGTAAAGGAAGGGGTGGTTTTGGTGCTTGAAAGTGTCTGTGAAGATGGATCGGTGTTGGATTTGCAAGATTTGTTTCAGAGATTCTCGTTTGATTCAACTTGTATGTTGGTCACTGGCTTCGACTTCAACAGTTTATCTATTGATTTCCCTCAAGTTCCTTTCTCCAAGGCCATGGATGACGTGGAGGAAGTGATTCTTCTTCGCCATTTCATCCCTAAAAGTTTGTGGGAATTGCAAAAGAAACTCCAAATTGGACAACCCAAGAAGCTGAAAGAAGCTTGGGAAATCATAGATCAAACCATCGCCAAATTGATAGCCTTGAAAAGAGAGAGCTTGCAAAAAGAAGAGCCAGCCCAAGGAGCTGATTTAATCACATCTTATATGGTAAACGAAGAAGATGGTTTTGAGAAAAATGAAAATTTTTTGAGAGACACTGTTTTAAATTTCATGATTGCCGGTCGGGACACTCTCAGCTCAGCTCTCTCTTGGTTTTTCTTCTGTCTCTCAAACAATCCAACAGTTGAAGCAAAGATAAGAGAGGAGCTCAAATCAATCATCCCAGAAAATGAAGATCATGATCAATGGAGGATATTTTCAATCGAAGAGTTGAACAAACTAGTTTACTTTCATGGGGCTTTATGTGAAACACTTAGACTTTATCCTCCAGTCCCATTTCAGCACAAAGTCACTGTGGAAGCCGATGTTCTTCCATCGGGTCATAAAGTGGATCCTACAACTAAGATTCTGTTTTCGTTATATGCATTGGGGAGAATGAGTGAAGTGTGGGGCAAAGATTGTGAGGAGTTCAAGCCAGAGAGATGGATTTCAGAGAAAGGKAGTATAAAACATGTGCCATCTTACAAGTTCTTGGCATTTAATGCAGGGCCAAGGACTTGCTTGGGGAAACAAGTGGCTTTTACTGAGATCAAAATGGTTGCGGCTGCCATTATTCACAACTACAACATTATTCAAGAAATTGGTCATAAGGTTGTCCCAAATCCTTCCATTATTCTTCACATGAAGCATGGATTCAAAGTGAAGATCACAAAGAGATGGAGCTGTGGTTAAAAGGGTAAGGAGGAAGATTTTCTAATTTGTTAGGCTCAAATTACATAACCAAATAATGAAAACAATAAATATGGTGTGTTGTAATGTTGTGATATAATTACTTTCTTTCTTTTCTGTTTCCCCCCTTAAGTTATTGGCTACTTAATGTAAATGTTGCAATAATGCCAACCCACTTGACTAGTAAGTAGTAAGTCAACGTGCTGGGTAAAGGTTTAGTTTTTATAAATTCCATCGTCTTTACTTTTGAGAATGTGATTTTTATTAATTTTTATTAATGTTTTCATTTTTATTTAAGTTTGTTTATTTGAGAAGGTTATTTTAATAATCTCATGAACTCCATAAACTTAAACTACATGTCACACTTTTTCAACTCTTAATTAGGCATTACACATAAACTCAAATAAGTTACCGGAATCTTTTTATGTAACTTAGTAATTTTATCCAATAATCTAAATACATACAACATGTATCTCCAAATTACACAAATCCAAATTTGTCAATTTCTACGTTAGAGAAACTTTTCTCTGACACATACTAAAACTGGAAGCCGTGCAACTATGAAAAAATTTAAATTTTATAGTACCATACTCTCTTTGTTCACATTATAATTTTACACTTATAAATAATTTTTTACGGTTGATAGGCCACATTTAATTTTAATACGATTTTTGTAACGAACAGTTTAACGTATAAAGTTTTCAGACTCTGGTGGGATACTTACGTAACAAATAATTTAACAGATAAAGTATCCAAACTCTTGTGATACAATTGTCGCACTTACTATATATGGCAAAGTTGAGAACAATTAGACACTTTCCTATATTCGAATCCCACCACTTAAAAGGACCCATTAATATTCATAGAAAAGACCTCTTCTTTCTCTTTTTCTTTTATTTTTATAGCTTAACAATTTTGAGGTGGAATCAAATCATCAACTTTATATTTTGATCATTGAACTAGGTTCGAATTGAATTTTTCTCTTTTTACTCTAAATTATTTCACTTCACATCAACATTCATGAAAAACTCAAGCTAAGAATGAACGAAGATAATTAATACTACAAATATTTGATAGTAAAGAGAGTCAATAAAAAATGGAGTTTTTCAAAAATTTGGCTTTCCATGACACTTCCCACAATGCGTTTTTAGGGAGAAGACTCAAAGATTTACGTATTCTCCTTTATTTATGATGATTTTTAAATATCACGATAAGAAAAAAAAAGTTTGTGATTTCAATTGGTAACATGAAGAGATTGTTCATTTTTTTTTTATTTAAAAGAAAAAGATTTCTTTTTTTGCGTGTATTTGAAGCCCACTATGTGGTAGCCTATGGGCCTCGTAATTGAACCCTCTTTTCAGCAAATACGAGCTTCTGCTGCATATTCAAATTCTTTCCATATTAATTATTACGCTTTTAATTTTCTTCCAAAACTAAAATGTGAGTGATACTATACCATAAGTTATCTCTATTTTCTTTGACAAATTACTCCACATGTAGAACTTAACTGCATAGGAGGAAGAATATGTTGGAATTAGTTTAATATATAAATAATGTTTTAACGGGGTATGATAGGGCTTTCTGGGGAACTTTCCAACGAAATTCTTTATGGAGAGACAGTTCTATTGACAAAATCTGTAGTTATGACGATGATTTTATGCGTCGGGAAAACCCAAATTTATTGGAGTGATAATTAATATTTTAACTGGATAATAGAGTTTTCTTTACTTTTTCTTCCTTCTAATAACCATTGTCTGAAAAGTATACACCGCACCGTCAATCTCTGTGAAATATAAAAAAAATCTTATGATTAATATTTATATATTTAGTGTTATAGTTCTAAATATTTATATATTTAGCGTTATGTCTCTAGAGTTCTATGTAATGATGAATTGGTATATAATCTTTACCAACTATTTGTACAAAATATATATATAATCCCCCATATTTAGCCGAACTATATTTAAATCATGTAATTGTGTTCTATATTTATAAATCAGGGTTATAAGCTTGGATTTAAAATCATTATTTACAAGTTCATAACTAAATCAGACATTGCCATAACAAACTAAAAGTTAACAGCATTTAATTGGTTGGATTATGAAGTATACTCTCGTTTTCAAAAGATTATACCCAATCAACTTTTGTTCTTTCCTTTTTCTTTTTCTTTTTTTTTTCTCTTTCTTTCTTTATAATTGAATATGGGATCTACCACTAACTTTAAAATATCCATTAAATTATGCTCGAATTAAGATGCATTAGCATTCATGTTAGAAGGGAATAAAGGAAAAGAAAAATATAACAACAACAAATGCTTTACATTTGATGGTAATGATTCAAATATAGAAAGATGAGCATGAAATTGAGGTTGTTTGGTTGGCATTAATTGGGCTACATATAAACAACTCATTGATTTCTCATCAATTTTCAACAACCCACTTGTTGGTGCATGGTAGTGTCATAGATATCTCGGTTTGGTTTCCACGAACCATACATTTATTATGGAACTAACTATGGGGTGCCACGAGATCAAAACGCTGAAGAGTAAATATATTTGGGAGGTAAACATGACAATTTTACTGTTAGTTTTTTACTTTTATTTGTGTGTCTAAAACTAGAACTTAGCTCGATTTTGATCACAAGAAGATTTCAATTGACAAAGAATTTGCTGATAGTAACGTCCAGGGTCGGTTTAAGGTATAGACGATCGAGGCGATTGTCTAAGGCCCCAAATTCTAAAAGGTGTCATATCTTTCATATATTAGTATATATAATATAATATAATATTGTTATCTATTTATTAGGTTTTACTTATAAATGTACTTTAAAATATAAAATAATATATACCATACATATTTTATACAAATTAATAATAAATATACTTCTCTAGAAAAAAAATCTTTAATTAAATATGGATCTCTATAGAAATTCCATAAAAGAAACTGGACTGATTGGTGCGGATCTCGATCCGGGATAGCACAATCCCGGATCGAAATTGCATAATCTCGGACAGGACTAGAAGATGTGCTATCTTGGATCGGGATCCGCACATCAGTCCATTTTTCTTTCCTTTTTTTTTTTTTGTCTTCTCTCCCCTCTCAACCCTATTTCTTGATAAGTTGTACATTCATATTAAACAATTAAATATCTAATATTCCATTTTGTAATTTTAACTTTTTTTTATCGGTTTTTTCCATATTAAATTTTTAATTAACTATTTGAGTTAGATTTTTTTTTCTATTAATGTTATATTTTTTAAGTTTGTAATGGATTATTGTGAGAGATTTGTGGAGGGAATAAAGATTCAAAAGAAATTTGTGTTTTCTTATACGGAGCACGGAGAGATTGTTGATTTTGAAACATGAGGGTACCACAGTAATTTCACATTTAAAAATTATGAAATAGGTAAAAAAAATAAGGGGAATAAGGTCACAAACTAGTTTTTTTCTAAAATAGGGTCATAAATCCAAAATGAATTATTGAAAAAGTCATATATCCCAATTTCCCTCCCATCTATCGCACTCCTTGGTGCATTTATAGTGTCATTGTCTTCTATAAGTGCCTTCAACAACCTATGCATTTAGGGTAGTAATTTGAAAGGGATATATATATGTAGGCCATCCAAAGAAAAATTACAACATATTCTTAGTGCCCTAAAGCTTGGACTCATCAAAATTTTAAAGGAAAATTTTGAAAACATATATACTTTTGGAACCAAATTTTTTGGCTGAGGATTCAAATAAGACTGCGATGGTCACTTGTTATAAGTACAGAAAATAAATTGAAAATCTAAAAAGATAAATTAGAATTTCATTTATCACCTCAATTTAGCTAGTTTTTTAATTAATATATAAAAAATTATGAGAAATCTAGGAATTTTGTTTATTTGGAAATTCTATATAAAAAAATATATAATATATATTATATCGTAGGTGTGTGTGGGGCACCCTTGGTTTATATTATAATCACAAATGTATATAGGTATATATTACAACCATTCATTTATGGAAAAGAATCTATAGTAAATAGTAAAATAATATTACCATTTATATTTCATCAATGGGACACTATTAGGCGCTATTTACTTCTAGGAAATGGAAATTAAATTTGGATGTTGTTTACTTAAATTATAGGAATAGAAGTGAGTGGTGAGACCCACCCAAATTTTGTAATTCTTACTCCAAATTTGACATTTGTTAAGTACTTTTAACGTCAATAAAAATTTAATTGTTGATCTTAAAATAAATTATTTTTAAAAAATACATATATTGACAGTTATAAAACGTCAACTTACATATATATTAAAGTTGGCACGATATAGTGTCAACTTTTAGACTTTTATTGACGTTAATTACATGACTTTCCGTAAATTTTCGTAGTTCTCATGTTTTTTGTATAGTTGACGATCTTTAATCGTCAATATTGCACTTTTAATTAATGACTAAAAACTGTCAATACAAAAGATAATATTGAAACATTTTAGCCGTCAACTAAAAATTTGGATGAGATTATGAATTTTAATATAATTTGGATGAGATTATGAATTTTAATATAATTTGGATGAGATTATGAATTTTAATAAAATAATTAAAATAAATGAATACCCAATACTTATCATTTTTACACACATTTTTACACACGTGCGGAGGGTAAGAAACACACACAAAAGGAGCTAAGTTTTTTCCTTTTTTTTCTCATCAAATTTTGTTTCATGTGGCCTCTATATATACAACCAAGTTTCAGTTGCAGAGCTCCAATGGCTTCCCTCGCCTTACCAGAAAATCTTTTTGCCTTCATACCCTTTATTCTCCTCATAATTTTCTTTCTAATTTTGAAGTGGAATCTCGATGGCTTCATTCCTTGGAATTGGCCTCTTGTGGGGATGACGCCCACAGTGGCCTACCACATACACCGAGTTCACGATCGTATGACTGAAGTCCTAAACCAAACCGGCTGCACTTTCCTTTTCAGAAGTCTTTGGTTTTCTAATCTCGACTTCTTGCTCACAGTCGACCCTTCAAACATTCACCACATTCTCAGTTCCAATTTCGAGCGCTACCCAAAAGGCCCCGATTCCAAGTACATTTTTGACATCTTTGGAGACGCCATCATCAACTCCGACTTCGATTCCTGGAAGAGCAAACGCAGAGTCGCTCATTCCTTGGTTCGCCGCGACAACTTCCTCCGATTCTTGGAGGAATCCACGATGAAGAAGGTGAAGGAAGGCGTGGTTTCGGTGCTTGAAAGTGTTTGTGAAAATGGGTCGGTGTTGGATTTCCAAGATCTGTTTCAGAGATTCTCGTTTGATTGCACTTGTATGTTGGTCACTGGCTTCGACTTCAACAGTTTGTCTATTGATTTCCCGCAAGTTCCTTTCTCCAAGGCCATGGACGACGTGGAGGAAGTGATTTTTCTTCGCCATCTCATCCCTAAGAGTTTGTGGGAATTGCAAAAGAAACTCCAAATTGGACAACCCAAGAGGCTGAAAGAAGCTTGCGAAATCATAGATCAAACCATCGAAAATTTGCTAGCTTTGAAAAGAGAGAGCTTGCAAAAAGAAGAGCCAGCCCAAGGAGCTGATTTAATCACATCATATATGATAAACGACAAATTGGAAGAAGAAGATGGTAACTTTGAGGAAAATGACAAATTCTTGAGGGACACACTTCTAAATTTCATGATTGCCGGTCGGGACACTGTCAGCTCAGCTCTCTCTTGGTTTTTCTTCTGTGTCTCAAACAATCCGACAGTTGAAGCCAAGATAAGAGAAGAGCTCAAATCAAGCATCCCAAAAAACGAAGCTTGTGACCAATGGAGGATATTTTCCATGGAAGAGGTGGATAAGTTGGTTTATTTTCATGGAGCTTTATGTGAAGCTCTTAGACTTTATCCTCCAATCCCACTTCAGCACAGGGTCTCTACACAACATGATACTCTCCCAAGTGGCCATATTATCAATCCCAAAACTAAGCTTGTGTTTTCGTTGTATGCATTGGGAAGAATGAGACAAGTGTGGGGAAAAGATTGTGAGGAGTTCAAGCCAGAGAGATGGATTTCAGAGAAAGGGAGTATAAAACATGTGCCATCTTACAAGTTCTTGGCCTTCAATGCAGGGCCAAGGACTTGCTTGGGAAAACAAGTGGCTTTTACTGAGATGAAAATGGCTGCAGCTGCCATTATTCACAACTACAACATTATTCAAGAACTGGGGCATGAGGTTGTCCCAAATTCTTCCATTATTCTTCACATGAAGCATGGATTCAAGGTGAAGGTTACAAAGAGATGGTCTTGAAGTTCAAAGGGCAAGGAGGAAAATTTTCTTATCTTTGTTGAGCTCAAATTACATTATCTTAGAATGAAAACAAAAATGATGCATTGTAATCTTTTGATAATGTGTTGTTGTTGCTGCTGCCCTTTTTTTTTCTTTTTTTTTTTTCTTTTTTTAGTTATTATTGTTGTTGTCAATTGGTGACTTGACTAATGTTGTATGATAATGTGAATTTGGGCTTTAACTTTCACTACTAGTGTAGTAAGGTTTAGTTTATAAATTTAAATATTTACTGTTTGAAAATATGACAATACTTTAAAGAAGAAGAATAAAAAAAGGGATGAAAACAAATGTTGTGACAATAAATTTTTTATGGCACGATTTGATAGAGACGTGCTATTGTTATAATCCTCTCGAACAAAGTCTAGTCTAAGATTCTTCCTTCCATATTCGACAATATGTTTTTTTTTTTATTTCTTTAACATCAAGTCAATAATGTGAGGGTATAGATTTGAAGATTTTTTAGCAACTTCTATATTTTCTTTTCATTTGCTAACTTCTTTTTCCTTATAGCTTTTGCCTTTTTTTTATTTTTTACAATAACATATATATAGCAATTTGGCTTCAAATAATTTGCAAATATAGTACCATTTCTTCTTAGCCCTAATAAAAATGTATTAAAAAGTAAAAAAAACATCTCATCACCGTATCACAACATTGCATGTCTATTATTGATAGACCGTATCAATGATACACACGTCCCTCGTTAATAGATCCTAATTTATAATTTATAGTGATTAGCAGATATATCATAGATAAGTCATATCAATAAAGTGAAAAAATAGTATTTAATATATTAGTGATTATGTAATTTTTATTTTATTCTTTTTACATGCTTATTTATTATTTGGTTTATCTTTGATATACCCATATCAATAAAAAAAATGATATAACAATGATTATGTAACTTTTATTTTCTATCGAGTGTTCTTTTTCATGATTTTTTAATATTTGGTCTCATGATTGATACACCATGTGGTAGAATTAAAATGGTATGTATTATATTCTTTTTTCACATTGATTTTTTATTTGGTTTATCATTGATACATCAAATTAATAGAATGAAAATGATATATCGGTCATTAATTAATTATGATTTTCTATCGTATTGTTCTATTTACATGGTTATTTTGTCCAATCTATTATCGATATATCATATCAAGACATAGAAAGACAATGGTATAATAGTAATTATGTAACTTTTGTTTTCTATCTATGTTACGTTTACATGCTGATTTACTATTTGGTATATTGCTAACATACCATATTAGTATAATGAAAATGGTCTACCACCGATCTATAAGTGCTATTACTAATTGAACTCGATAATAATAAATGTAAAATAGAATATGAGTGGTATACAGAGGGTAAAATTGATATTACGTAAAAATATATAAATAAGTTGGTGAAAAATTAAAAAAGTTTTGTCACATTTACAAATTACTTTTTTTTTTTTGATAGATTTGCAAATATGACAACCAATTTTGCCTCCCATTAAAATTTCTCCTCTCTTTCTCAACTTTTACAGTGACATATAATATGTATACATTAATATCTATCCAATATTATGAATTATCAATTGGAGAATATTATCAATTATCAATGACACATGTGTCAACATGAATATATATCAGCATATATATAATCATACTAAAAAAAATTTAAAAATTTATCAAATGACGCATATTAAAAACAAATCCTATTGTTTTTTTATTAATTTGTCATTTAAATTTTTATAGTAGATAATGAACTTGGGATTTATTAAAATTTGAGATAAAAAAATTTTAAAAAAAAAAGTTAAAAAATGAAGATAATATTTTTAAAAAAAAAAGAACTAAAACTATATTTAAAAAAAACGTCCAAAAGTAGATAAGGAATTAAGGAATATCTCTAAAAAAAAAAAAAGAAATAAAGAGTTTCAAACGTGAGCAATATAATTCATGAGTTGAAATTTTACTCGTTGTACTAAAAACAAAGTAAAGAGTTTCAAGGTGAATTGTTAAATTTCAACCCAAACCCAACAATAAATCTGTCCTACACCTTCAATGCCACAACCAACCTTGTCGACAAAAGATATGAGATCTGAAAAAAATAATCCGATAAAAAAAAATCTTAAAAATTTGATCTCGATGAATATTCTAAATAAACTATAAAAATTTACCAAGAAATTCATAAAATTTATATGAATAAACATTTCACTTCTTAAAACAAGTCAAGTTTATTTATTAATAATAATTATGTGCAGTGATATTTTAAAAATACTCTATATTTCATTATTTATAATGAAAAATATCGAACATATATTTAAT